CCTTTCCTCTATTGCATGTTTTCGATAGAGTTAGGGACTAGATTTGGGCATGAATGTACTGCTGAATTACAATTAAGGTATTTATTATGGAAACTATGAAAAAAGGAATTAAGCAGTCCCTGGCAGGATATCAATTTTGGTGTCCAAGCGGACTCAGGCATCATGAATTGGCGTACTGGAGTGTATACCAGCATTTAGACATTAGTTTGAGTAAGTCGGTCTTCGAGATAGAGTAAAATTTCATTTTCTGCTTGAAACTTCTCGGGATCGGGGCGCGAAAAACTGCAAATGAAGGTCGCTAGTCTTAAGTAGTGTTCAGCTTGTTCGCCTTCACTGATGCCGTTTGCAAAAAGCGAAATGGTGTCTTGCGGGTTTGTCCTTATTTGATGGTTATAATTGCTGCAAATTATGACGATTGATTAAAGTACTGCAAGAAAATGCTTATCCTGGTATCAATAGAGTCAAAATTGTTGATAGAATGCTATACAGTAATCAAGATGGGTCTATTTTCTCACCGAGGTCCAACAATGAACGATATTTAGTGAACATAGAAGAGATTCTCGACAATAATCTTCAAGATTAATTAAAAAGAGGAAGGCAGAATCATTATGAGGAGAATGTACGCTTTTTCAGCATTTCTAGCTGTAATACGTACGTTTTCGTTTCACACCATTGCAGTAATCTAGTCAACGTTAAAGCAAGTATGGTGAAATTATCAATTCTACTTTATTCGTTTTACAGTATATCATCCAACATTCGTAAATCTCTAAACCAACCGGAAGATCTACCAGTTTGAGGTAGAAACTTGTCTTGACCCAGTTTTGAATAAAATATGCGCTTTTCCACCATTTCTAGCTGCAGTCAACGTTAACGCTAGTGCGGGTAAATCATCAATTCTACTTTATTCGTTTTACAGTACAACATCCAACACCTGTAGATCTCTAAATCAACCGGAAGACCTACCCGTTAGAGGTAGAAACTTGTCTTGGTATTTCATTTTCATTTTGTCAATATTTTGTCATAGCCTATTAGCATATGAGTACATATGTACAGTATATCTAATAGTAAATAGTAAGTATTTGTTACGGAGCCATGCTCCGAAATATTAATTGCTATGTTAATTAAAATATCTCATTTAAATTGTTGTTTGCTCCAGTAGCTTATTAGATATTAATGTTTATTAATAAGTACTTGTTATTGCCAAGGTATCAGAAAGTTCAATTCTGTTGACGTGTCGGAGCTAACACGCTTAGTCAATAAACATTAATTAATAACACCATATACTAGGATATGTATGCTGCTATACAGTGTAACGCTATGTCAAGCATATTCACAAGTACACCATCGGCGTAGGCCGAGACTATAAAAAGCCGAGCACTAGCTTAGCTGCTCAGTTCCATTTAGTCACTTGCAGGATCACTTGACTATTATTGCTAAGAATATTCTCACGTTTGTCTTTGGTACATTTTACGATTAAGATTAACGTTAATAAATTGAAGTATTTAAACCTATTACTCATTAGTAGTTTATTTGTGTAGTTGAGAATGAGTTCAACTACGATAGAACCGTAAGTTAG